AGAAAGAAAGAAAGAAAGAAAGAAAGAAAGAAAGAAAGAAAGAAAGAAAGAAAGAAAACAGTTGCCTCACCAAGCAAGAAGCCCTCTGTGCAACCCCACATGACAGTTCTGGAAAGCTACAACCCTGGAGCTCTCTGCACAATTTGCAGGCAATTCACAAGTCCAAGAGTTTAGTCTCTTTGCAGCTCAGCAGGTTGAAGCACCTTGTGGAGCTCCTTCTTGGGTACTTGTTTACTGGTGCTATAAACTTGATGGGGACCTTTGAGAATCTTTTGAGTTTTCACTTTCCCAGCCATGTGACCCTCTGTTTACTTCCCAAGTCTCAGGAGCTGGCCTTATAGAGCTCAGCTGGTAACTACATCAGAATGCACAACAATGGCACCAATGTACATAAAAGAAACATAGTTTATCATGTTGGTGTATGTTTGTTGAGTGATAGTTATGAAAGAAGTAGATGTTCTGGTAACTTATTGTGCAAACAGGAGCATGCTCAAACCTCTGCTTATGACCTGTGAATGCCACTGTCCTAGTACATTGTTCTCACTCTCAACTCTTCATGCATTTATTTAAACATTTTCCACAGCACTCTTTAGCCCCTCCTAGTTCATATCCCATGTTTCTTTAGGAAAACAGCCTTTCTTACAAGACACTTAGTAGTGAATCATAAAGTCAGAAGCAGTCTCCTTGGGGGAAGGTGCAAAGAAATTCTTTCTTTCTCTTTACTGGCCCATGGATTCCCAGGGAAGGGAACAGGCAAAGAAACAACCACAAAGCTCTGATTCTGAGGCTATCTCAGACATTCCAGAAGCCTCAAGTAGACTGTTTCACTGGTGTAGGTAAAGTGCTGCAGGACAAGCGAGCTGCCCACACTGGACACCCACAGCCAATATTGTTTCCAATTTTTACTCCACTTTCATGGATATGATTGATCTTTTAGGAACAATTGGAACTGCCTACATTTGTTACATCAATTTCCGTGCCCTACCACTGCCTGGGGAACACACTCTTCCATTCATCCATTGTTTAGTGCCCTCAAGCTCACTCCTTACTATCTTTGGAGTTAGATACTGTTGTTAGGTCCTATTTAGATGACAGAGACACTGAGGTGAGCTAGGTAGCCATCCTCTGTGTCTAGAACATAGACCCTTTGTTACCAGGTAAGTAAAATGGAGTTATTGTTGATACCTTGCATTATAAAACCTGTAGTCACTTGCTTTATAGGATTTCATTAGATGATTGTGCTCCAATCCATTTAACTATTCCCCTACTCAGGGTTTTTAGTTAACTTCCAAATCTCGGTGAAAGATTTTGTGAAAAAAAATTTCCTTTGTTAGATTTCCAGTATTATAAAAAAAAAAAAACAGGGTCATGGTATATAAACTGTTCAGTGGTTATTCCCAAAGCAAGGACCTGGGACTGTCTCACTGTCCTTCTCCTCCTCCTCTTCTGCTTCCTTTTCCTCTCCCTTCCCCATTTTCCACCTCCTCCCCCTTTCCCTCTTTGTTTTACATTTTTTATTGGGATAATGTCTATCTACATAGCCTTAGCTTTCCTAGAACTCATTGTGTGGATCATGCTGGCCTCAAACTCACAGAGATCCTCCTGCCTCTGCTTCCCTAGTGTGCCACAGCTTCTGGAGAGCGTCTTGAAGCAAGTGGCTCCTTCCAGGGATGTCCTGTGGATGGGTGGTCAGCCCCCTTAAAGTGTGGTTTGTCTTCTGGCATTTAGTTCCCCCTGTGCACATACTTCTTCTGTCTTTGTACCTTTTCAAAATAAATGTTCTCATCTTGGTTCTGGGCTTCACTACATTCTTTTCTCTGTTTTCGGCCACAAAAGTAACTTTCTTGCCATTATTTTTTTTTAAATTTTACAAAATATATTTTGATCATGTTTTCCTCTCCCATAATTTCTCTCAGATCCTCCCCACTTTTCTCTATACAACACAGACCTTGGTTGTCTCTTAAATTTTAACAGAGGTAAACAGCAGGGAGGGAGTACACATTTTCTTTCTTCCTGAGCCAAGAAACATGACTTTGCTTTGTGCTTTGTTTAGAAAATGAGCTCTGTTTGCCTAGGAAAGCAGTCCTTCCCTGGACTTGTCTCTCATACACCTCTTCTCTACTCAGGGCTTTCGTGTGGGCTTACTTGGGTGACACATTCTATGTAACTGAAGCTATGACCAGTGGTAACATCTGGGGCCTCAGGGGTCATAGAGAAAAATCAGCCTTTGTCAGGTTCCTTATTCTCTTTCTTGTGCCAGAGATTCTGATTCTTTTGTGTTTGACATAATATTAATGATAATGAAAAAAATCGACATTTTAAGAGTGCTTACTGTATTCCTGGAAGAAAAGGCACTGTTTACAAATGAACAATGACTGTCCCAATGGAAAATGTGCTTTCTCCACCTATTCTTCACTGCAAGGCATTTTCATCTTTCATTTTATTGTTTTCTTCCTTATTTCTATCAAAGACTAAGGGGAAGAACACTAACCTATAAAGTGGTATTTGAAAGTGGAAGCTATCACACTGTAATGACATTTGTTCTTTTCAGTGTTGTACCACTTATAATTGGGCATACATTGCCTCAACCACGAAATGACTAAATTTCATTTTCATTTAAAATTTTAGAGCTATTCAAGTTATTGGATCTGTGGGACAAATTTTGTCCATTTAAATGTTGGTATCTGTTTAATCATGACTACGTGATATAGCCCAGTTTTCTACTTAATGAAAAATGGCATGGCTGCACCAATGGAATCAGTTTTAGTGGCTAGCACATAACTTGTGAAACATTTTTAAAATTTGGGAGCCTACTTAAATGATTCCACGTGTTTGCGTGTGTATGTGTGTTAGTCATTGTTCTATTACTGTGAAGGGACAACGTGACCAATGCAAGTCTTATAAAAGAAAGCATTTAATTAGAGGGCTGTTTACAGTTTCAGAGGTTTAGTCTAATACTATCATGGCAGGGAGCATGGCAGCCTGCGTTGGAGCAGTAGCTGAGAGCTACATCCTGATCTGCAGGCCAAGAGAGAGAACCTGGACCTGATCTGGGCTTTTGGAACATCAAAGCCCACTTCCTGTGACATACTTCCTCCAACAAAGCCACACCCACTCCAATAGAGCCACACCTCCTAATCCTTCCAATCCTTTAAAACAGTTCCATTCCCTGATGACTAAAGATTCAAATATATGAGCCAGTGAGGCTGTTCTTGTCCAAACCACCACAGTATATTAAGAACCATGTGAGTTAAACTATCACCATCTAAAAACATTAAAGTTGAGGAGAAGCTGTAGTAAGCAGCCCTTGCTTTTGTATTTTTATGACATTTATAAAGCAGGTTACAGCTCTTTATGTGAATGTGGAAACAGGTGTTTTGATTTGTCAGAAAGCATCTCTGTTGGGGGAAACTTTAAAATGATTACAAGCTGACTTCTTTATTTTGGAGTTCAGTGTGTTTTATCAGATTTCATGAGTAAAAAATTCACATTTTAGTCAATTTCTGCTTCTGAACAAATTTAAAGCACAAACATTTTGAAACACTTGTCAATAATAGAAGTAGATCAATAACCAAGACACTTTTCATTTCTCCAAAAGAGAATCCAGAGGTAAATGAGACATTTGACCTCTGCCATTTTGAAATCAGTACTGTTTTAGGGAATTAATTTGGGTAAAAGACACCACTGGCTTTGTGCTTGTCCATGTTTTGGTGATCCTTCACCTGACCCTTCAGATGACAAAAGAAACCAGAGAAGCCTGTGAAATTTGGCTGAGGGGTTCTTTGGACACAGAGGAAGGAATATCTGATACTCAGATATTCCTCAGATATACACAGAGAACAATAAGGCACAAGTTTCCATTTTCTGAGAATGTACTGCAGGACCATCCTTTAAGAATGCCCAGATTGTTCTCACTTTCTGTTTTCTGCATCCTCTGAGACTGCTTTAAATGTGTGTGTGTGTGTGCACGTGTGTGTGTGTGTGTGTAAACAATTAAAATTCAACAAGAATAATATTATCTTGAAAAAAATAATACACAACAGAATACCAATCTATAAACAAGTATTACTGATCAGGAGAAGTAGATTTACCATAAAAAATGTCAGGAATCACAAAAGAAGAAAAAGTGACTAATAACCTCAGGAAAAAATGACTGGTTTTATTAGCAATTGAGTAAAAGGTTGAATAATTAATTATAAGCTATTTTTACATATCAGGTAAAAACAAAGCAAAACATTGGGAACCCTGATAGTTGGTACTGGTGAAGAATATAGGTTTGCTCCTGGAAAGTAAAACAGATGGGTATAGACCTTTTTGAGAGCAGTGGGGTAAGACACATGCAGAAACTTCAAAGGGTGAATACTTCCTGGTTCAACAATGAGGCCCCAAGGCATTTATGCTAGGAAATCAGATAAGTAATCAGGGAAAAGCATGTAGTTAATGCCAGCCATTGTTTCTAGTGGCAAAACATATGAGGAAACTCACATGCCAGGCACTAAAACACTGGTTGCAGAAATCAAGGCTCATCCAGATCAGATGCTCTGGTGAGTGCTGAGAGATGGGAGGATGGGTTAGCAAACGGGCTCAGAGGGTGAAGGGGTTTGCATCAAAGCCTGATGCTTGTTTATCTCTGGGATCCACGGGATAGAGAGAGGGCACTGACTCTTGCAAGTTTGACTCTTACCTCACACATGCTCTATGGCAACTGTACTCATGTGTGCTTACACACACACACCACAAATAAGTAAATATTTAATAAATGGTATAATGAGAGCAGATATGGTAGGGTTGGCTAATGTCCAATAAGACATGGCAGTTCAGTGTCCAAGTGGGCCCCATAGTAATGGGAACAGGGACTGTCTCTGACATGAACTGATTGGCCTGCTCTTTGATCACCTCCCCCTGAGCTGGGGGCAGCTTTACCAGGCCACAGAAGATGACAATGCAGCCACTCCTGATGAGATCTGATAGATTAAGATCAGAAGGAAGGAGAGGAGGACCTCCCCTATCAGTGGACTTGGGGAGGGGCATGCGTGAAGAAGGGGAGGGAGAGTGGGATTAGAAGGGAAAGAGGGAGGGGCTTATGGGGGATACAAAGTGAATAAAGTGTAATTAATAAAAGTTAAAATAAAGAACTACCTTGTTTCTCTCTGTATCTTTGCCATAATATTTTATTCAAAGAAGAAACTCTAGGGAGATGTGTGTGTGTGTGTGTGTGTGTGTGTGTGTGTACTTGTTCTTTCTTAGGAATTCTGAGTTCTCACTCAGCCACACAGTGTATCAAATTGGAGGATGGAATGGTATCTAATGATTCTTTTTCCATTTTGTTATGTACAAACTCCTCCCATTGTTCTTATTATTTTGACCTTTGAGGCCATTGCATGAAGTACCAGCGTATGACTCTTCTGGCCATTTCACACTTGCCACCATGGCTACAACCACCGCCACACCCACTGGGATTTCAGCAATGACTGAGGTCTCAGCAAGACTTGGTGGCTCTGTCAGGTCTACAAAGTTTAGTTTAAACGTGGAAGTCTTGTTGGTTATGTTAACACAGTGAATCAGTTTGTTTGTCTGATCAAAACTCATAAAGACTCTATGTCTTTCAGAATCAAGGCCACACTCCTTAAAATAATTTGCATAGCTGTCCTTCATCTTTGTGGCTATTTTGATTTATCAGACTTCTAAAACACAAACAAACAAACAAAACTTCTTCTAGGCCAATCACACCATCCCCGTGGGGTCTTCATGCCTATCAACTCCTTTAGGATGTGCCTTTGTCTTCTTTTCTCAAGGAAGCTTCAAGTGCAGATCCTCTTAAACACTAGAGTATCCTAACCCTACCCTAGGACAGCTCAACCATTTTATCTGGTCTGCCTTGTATTTATTTTATCCTCTATCATTATAAAACAATACACAAATTAGTGGTATGCTAATTTTATGGATGCTATCTTTGTTATTATTGCCTTACGTTATGTTCTGGGTCTGTGTATTTGGACTATGGAAGTAATGAATGCCAGACCCTCACACCTATAATTTTTTTTCTTTTAGGAGAATGATATCAACCTGACACACATTGAATCCCGACCTTCTCGTTTAAACAAAGATGAGTATGAGTTTTTCACCTATCTGGATAAACGTAGCATGCCTGCTCTGAGCAGCATCATCAAGAGCCTGAGGCATGACATCGGTGCTACTGTCCACGAGCTTTCCAGAGACAAGGAAAAGAACACAGGTGAGTCTGAAGCATCTGATGACCCAAACGGTATCACACTGTCTTCATACAATAAAGCATGAATAACAGATAACAGATAACAAATGGATAACTGTCTTCATACAATAAAGCATGGGTGTAACAGAGAGGAAGCAAGCCTAGGCCTGGTATATCACACACATGATTATTAGCTCCTTTCCCGTTTCTCAGTGTTACTGTCTCTTATACTCACTGAATATGTTTAAAAGACAAGATATTGTGTCTCCCAGAGTGGTCTCAAACTCATTAAGTAACTGAGATTGCGCTTGAACACCTTCCAAGTGCTTGAATTTCAGGTGTGCTCCACTGTGCCTAGTTTTACAGAACTGGGTATCAAATCCAGTTCATTGTGAACATAATTTTTATGCATATTAAAAATTTTCTGGGCTACCATACTCTCTGCAGGTGGCATAGCTATTGTATTGTCCTCATTTCCCTTCTAATGCTAAGATGAAATACCCTGAGAAAAAGCAACTTAGGGGAGGAGAAAAGATTTATGAATTACTGTTCCAGATTAGTGTCCATCATTGTGGGGATGTTAAGATGACAAAAGCATGAAGCAATTAGTCACACAGTATCTAGTCAAGAACGGAGAGAAAGTGAGTGCGTGTGCATGCCTGCTAATGACTCACTTTCTCTTCTACACATGCCAGGATCCACATCTAGGGGATGGTGCCGCCCACTTTTAGGATAGATTTTTCTACATCTGTTAATATAAATGGGACAATCCCTCCCCCAAGACATGCCCACAGGCCAACCTGATCTAGACAATCCCTTGCTGAGACTCTCTTCCCTAAGAGAGCCACGTTGATAATTAACCTTCCCATACAGTGTGGTTTCTATGTGAGTGCAACCTGAAACAAGATGCTTAGTTATCTACTCTCAACCAAAGAGCTCCCCAGATTCTCACAGCACCTCAAATCTGGAGCAGGGATCCCTCAGTTCCTTGATCCCATTACTGTCATTGTCATCTTTTATCCATTCACCTCCCTTCCACTAAATCACGAACTCTTGCGCACAGGTAGTCTCTTCTACTCATGTCTGTATTTGTGGCACATAGTAGCGACTGACGAGTGAGCAGCTAATACAGGCTTGTTAAAACCTGCTGCATTTCACTATCCACTTACGGTAAGAATTATAGGTAAGACAGGCTTGGAATTCGGTCACCTTGGGTTCATGTCATCCCTTCAGCTTCTGACTTTGAAATTCCTTCTTTCTGTTTTCCTACAGCTTTTATTATGAAAAATATCATAGCAGAAATATTGCTTAGCATGGCATCTAGCATATTATCGGGACTGGCTCGGTGGCAATATGTCAATATGTAGGTTACACTTAGGTGTAGCCTACAGAGAATACGGACCAAGATGCTTGGTTCCTTTGCAGGATGCAGAGAATATTCAGATGAACAATTTTAATAGAATTTATTTTTTTAATTTTACAGAAATGAGCAAAATGTACAGAGAATGCTTATATATCTTATTCTCCTGTTACCGATCTTCATTAACACGGTGCATTTTAAAAGAAAAATTGGTGAACCAGTAGTGATTTATTCCTGGGAAGTAAAGTCCACAGTTCACATTAAAAACCTGCTTTGTGTTGTAGAATTTTATTGGCTTTAACCAATGCAGGGTGCTCCGTGTCTGCCACCATAGTGGCATATAGAATAGTACCAGTGTTTCAAAACTGCCTGCACGATCCACCCCTCCTTCATCCATCCTCCTCTCTCTTATTTGCAGTCTTGAAGTTTTGCCTTTTTTAGAAGCAACAGTTTGGATGGGCTTCTTTCACCTTTGACTTTATATATATATATATATATATATATATATATATATATAATTTAAAATTTTCCTTGAATAGTATCCCATTGTATTAACTTAACCTTAGATTGCGTATTCACCTATTTTAAGGACATCTTGGTTGACTCCAATTTGGTGTTATTATGAACAAACATATAAACATTCATGTATGGGTTTTTCATACATGTTTTCAACTCATCTTGGTAGACACTTCAGAGCATGCTTGTTGAGATGAACTTAATTTCAATAAACTCTTTTTCTGCTTCAGACTTCAGTCTTAGAGTAGCCTTCCCGAACACCTAATGCTTTGGGTTAAGAACACACTGTTACTCAATGGGCCCCAGGTACATTAGTAAGACGCAAGAAACAAGTCCTGTACTGATTCTTTAAAATGTTCAAGGTTATGTGCTCAATACTCAGAAGAGAGGAGGGGAAGGAGAGGGCAGAGAGCTTGGATGGCACAGCGATGTTTTCATGCACAGACTTTCATACAAGTCTGCTGTACAAAAGGATGACAACAATGCACTCTGTTATTTAAAATAAAAGATAGAAGAAACATTTTGAAACATTTGACCACAAAAAGTGATTAGTGTTTGAGGGGGATAAGTGCAATTACTCCAATTTGAACATTCTATAATATTCGTGTGTATGAAACTCTGATGGGAAAGTGTAACTGACGGGAACCCCATCTCTGGCTTGCTGTGGCACAGTGCTCAGAGGGGTCAGGTCTCAGGAGGTACCCTCATAATTCCTCCTCATTCAGACTTCCTTGCCTCCTCCCCTTTGCTTCCCAGGCTGATGATGGTCCTCTCCTACTTTCCAGGCCACCTGCTCCCAACAGGAACTTCAGGCCCATCTGGGCAAAGAAAGGGCCTGCTGGGTCCTGGGGCAAGCCCTGCCTCTGGTCAGAGCAGGTGGAGGCTGGGCCAGCTGGGCTCTGGAGTCAGAAATCAAAGCAATTGACAGCAGGCAGGCGCCACTTGGAGAACTAGGAAGATGTATGTAGGCCAGCTGGAAGGTTGTAGCCTGACCTGGAAGCTGCAAAGGGAAGTTCTTGGAGAGGATGTAGACAGTTAAGAGCCCAGTTTCTTGAACCAAGTCAGAGCACACTTGGTGTGACCTTGAACAAATTTCTGATGCTGATGATCTCAAGCCGCATCCAGTGGAAGAAACAAGAGTTCCTGGCCTTATAGGGGCTAATGAAACTACATCCACAGGCACTGTAAAACAGAGCTAAGGATATTTAGGGGCTTTGTAAATGTTTTATATTCCTGGCATTATTTATAAAAATGGCTCAACAATCCCCAAACAGTACAACAAGGTACTTTTTTTTTTTCATAGATTTCAGGGTCTGTAATATGACCTCAGAGGTCCTGTGGTCCTCCAGGCTCCTACATTTCTCATTGTGAAAAATGGAGGCTGTGACTTGCCTTTAAGGCGGAGAGTGAAGTCTGGGTAGTTATGGGAAACAGTATGTTAAGTACCCACTGATCTATGTCAGACACAGTGTTAGGAACTGGAGAGAAAATAAGTCCAGTGCTGGTTCCTAAGTAGCTCACAGTTTGGCAAAAAGCACAAGACACCCAGGTAAATAACGAAGAGGGACTGCTGGCACGAGGAGACAGATGCTGTGTCGCGTAACCCTCAGGGTGAGAAAGGGAAGAAGCTAATGTTGCCCGCCAGAGGCATCCTGCAGCCGCTGCCCAGCTTGTTGGACACTGGAAGTAGCACACACTCAGTACCTGAGGACGCTGCTTACGTTATTGCTCAGGGTGGCCGGTGCGGATGTTTGAAGTGTATGGAGGTGTGCAGGGCTGTGTGTGAGTGAAATGGGGTTGGCAACTTTAATGTAGCAAGAAAGACACCATTGGTACTAACTATTTGAAATGTGTTTTGTGACCTTTGTCACCGGTATGGCTATTTCCACCTGGACTAAACTTATCTATGACTCGGCAGCTGCTGGGATACGGCAGATGCCGTGGTGGGTGACACGTGCAGGGAGAGACTGGCCATCAGGGCTCCAGTGTAGATTTGTGGAGGAGTCTGAACCCGGAAGTGGGGCTTTTGAAAGAAGCAAGTATTGCTCTGCACAGTTGCTCTTTTCTATCAAGCCTCACTGAGGGAATGATGAGAGGAAGAAAGCCTAGGAGTAGATCGGAACCTTTGATTCTTTCTCTGGACAAAATACCCTTTTTAATGAGGGGCTCAGATCTCAGGGGCAAGTCTGACAGCAGGTTCAAGTGAGAGACCTGAACCCCGCAAATCAATTAAGCTAAACCACTTTGCACTCTGGTCTCTAAAGCGTTCAAGCAGTGGTGTGGGCGACAGAAAATGAAAGTCTCTCAGTTTCTTAATTGCCAACGTTCCCCAACCAAAACAGCCTGAAGGAAGGTTAATTATGGTGACAGGTTAAAGAAACCCCAACCTCCTCTAATGCCTCCTGGAGAAGCTGATGGGAACTTAATAGGATTTTAATCCAGGAGCCTTTTGAATACTTAGTCTATTCTCCTGCTGCCTTCTCTCCTGATGAACTCAAATCCTTCTTCAACCCAACATGAAAGAGCATTAATATCGGCCATCGATCCATCTACTAATCCGGTTACCTTTCCCTTTGAGTCTTCTGCATGACATTGCATTTAGCGGGGGTGGGGAGAGTGGGGGGTGCTTACATGGAAACAGAATGCAGCCAGGGGAAGCAGAAGGACACTGACACAGTGTCTTAGTATTCAGAGGTTAGGGACATGGCCTTTTGAGAGACTTGACTCTTTGTAGATTTTTCTTAAAAGCAAATGAACATTTACTAGACTTTCTCCAGTGGGGGTTGACTAACAGGATACTGTGTGGAAATAGTAAACACAGATTTCCATTACTTTCTATTATATTCTGTGTAAAACAGAAAGACTGGCTAATACCTATCTATCCATCCATCTATCTATCTTTCATTTATTCACCTGTTTCCTATCTATCTATCTATCTATCTATCTATCTATCTATCTATCTATCTATCTATCTATCTCTGTACCGTCTCTTATTTATCTGCCTAGCCTAGAGCTAAGATTAATGATAGAAGACAAAAGAATTATTATTACACACATTTCTTCCCTCTTAGTCCAGTGCCCTACAGGTTTCCCTTTTTCTTAATATCGCTGCTCTGAAGAGCCATATTGCGTAAGTCAGATGCTTAAC